TAATTCTAAAAATCTGTCTATTTTTAGTTGATAGCCGTAAAAGATCATTTTTACAAAACAAAAATCAAAATATTTGGCTAAAAACATATTTCAAACGTTTTACGAAAATTTTAGAAAGTTTAAACCTTCCAAAATTTTGTTGCGATGTGTAAGAAGCTTCTTTTGATACGTTTTTCATCAATTGAATAAGCCAAAGCCCCCATTTTTGAGCTGAATGTTAAGTTAAAAATTTTGGGTAAAAAATTGCAGCATATTAGTTCAAGTGAAAATCGAAGCAAATTTTATTCCCTTCATTTTTTTGTCTATTCTCAACCCAATTTGCAAAAAAGGCATATGAAACTTTTGTTAGTTTTGTCTGGATAATTTGAATCAGCACTCTAGCATGAAATATATTGCTCTTTACTTGTCCCAAATTGGCAATCTTCAAACTCAATCTTCGATCTTTGGCAAAACTTAAAGAAAATGGTCATAGGTAAATATATTTTTTTAAATTGAGCTCAATGCAATAATTTGCTTCATCCTAGAATTGGCCAATCAAATTTCTTTTTCATATCAAAATGTTTTGTTTACAATTTCAAGTCGAATTATAAATAAGCCGAATTGGCCTAAATTGAAGAATGCTTGGTCAAGCAGTCAAAACTTATTCAAATAGACTCCAGATTTTACCCAGATTAGAAAAAAAACACAAAAAACAGCTCCAGAGGAAAACAGCTCCTTGTTAGAAGTCGGCTTGAGAATAATGTATGTTTTTCTCAACATTTATGAATTGAATATAATAAAATCGCAAATTTGAGAAATTTAGGCGGAATAACCCGTCATTTTTTTCCAAAATACGTCGGAACAAAAAGCCAGGCAAGTCGAATCTAAGTCGCGCAACACGCCTTTGAATCAGGTGCTTTTTAATTTTTTCTTGAAATTTTCTTGATGAGAATTTATGGGTGTTTTCCTCTCAGCGCGGTTGCTGGCCAGCTGAAAAAAAAATCCTTTGAATTGTCTATGATAATTAATTCATAGCTTTTAAATGTTAATGAGTAAAGCATGTAAAACTACCAATCATCAAAGACAAAAAACACTAAATATGTACAAAACTTATCTTGAAGAAAAAACGCTTTTAGATGCAACTGATTTAACTTAAGTTTCATTGCAACTGGCCTCAAAAATGGTTTTTAATGACCCTTTATGAGTAAGTAAATTTACGTTCATCTTAAAGCTTCCTTGTTGAAGAAGAAACTCGAGACCGAACTTTGGCTGACTAATTAAAGAAATCTACCTTGATAAACTTCTCACGCTGAAATACTCTTAAGTGCTCATATCCATAACCTGAAGTACCTTTGCTGTTTGTTCACAACTTCATTGTTTTGCCCCGGGGAAATAATTATCGTCACCTGGGGAAATTCGCCCGCTCTCCAAATTGATTTCTGGTTCTACCTGAATTCCAATTGTAATGATTTGTCTAAGAAAGCGAGCAGATTTTAAACTGGCAATGTCTGAAGGAGAAAAGACTACGGTTTCTGGTTTATTAGTGTTCATCGAACCATATCGTCTAATTCGCACGTCAGGGAATTGTAAATTTTTCTTATCGCAAGGCACGAAATCAGATGTATCTGCAGTTTACATACCATAGATGGCGCCTCCTCTTATATGATGGAAAATATTACTAAACCAATATCGACCAAACTCGAAATTTCACAGAGGTTACAAAATCTGGTAATTTAAGATTTCAATTCACAATTTAAGTGAATTATATGAGAAAAACTTTGAGCACCCTGTTTAACCCTTTCATCCCACCTTTTTACGCCGCAACCATAAGATAAATAAAAAATACTGAAAAATTTTAGTAATTAAAATTGATGTTACGTCCAGTTTCATGAATGTTTGTTTATTTTAGATGCATCATTTGTTGAAAAGTCTAAAATTTTGCCTGAGGAAGAAAATCGCACCGAGCACAAATTTTCCATCGTTTTTTCGAAAGACCAAAGCATTTTGATTGTGAATTTTTTTGCTTGTGCGTTCTCCAGAACGTAAAATTTATATGATGGCTCGAACCAGAGAAAACGCTGAATTTCCCAACTACCGATTAACTAGAATAACCCAACCAGATACATAACTATGGGTTTAGGAACTTAGACGATCAGAAAATAACGGAATTTGGCTGATTAAACACTGGTTGTCCGATTTAGACAATAACTTGCCTGCAAATTGCGTGAAACTTGTTTAGAGACTTATATTATCTGTTGGCTGAGTAAATAATGGTTGTCTGTAAATTCCGTTTCTTTCTTGTCGTCTAATTAGCTTGTCGTCTAATTTCCTAGGCCCCCATAACTGTACAAGTTGTAAGAATTTGAAATTTTTGTTTCTTTTTTGGCTCGTAAATGCCAAATGTAAATACTAAATGCTGTAACTTGAATCCTGTTAGAAAGTAATGAAACCAATTCGCTTGTTTCAATTCATTTCAAAACAATTTGGAAAGCAGATTTTTTGCAGGGCTTAACGAAATTGCAATCAATTTCGTTAAACCCAACTAAATAGGTCATTTTGACCAAATTTGCAGGCAAGTTTCATACACCAGAATTTCACTAAAAGTGATTACAAAAAAATCAAACATTTTTTGACTATTTTTTGATCATCGAAATTAATCTAGAAAAATCAACAAATTACGAGCATAGCTATTCTCGAGTTTTGAAACCAACATGATTTCTGTGAGACATTTTATTCTCATTGATACGTTTAATCAATCGGTGGGCTACGTCATATTTTAGCATAGAAAAAAAAACCAAGACTGCGCATATCGGCAAAGCCTTGAATGCATTTTATTTTGTATAAAATGCATTTTATTTTGTATAGAGTAATTTAAATTAAAATAATTGATAAAAACTTCAAAACAAAAGAAAAAAAATAAATAAATTTCCCCCTTACGCTATTTCAAATACCTCCCGGTTAGCATTAAATGTTTTTGTTTTTAGCTCCAGGCAACAAAAATTTCCCAACGATATAAAAAAAATCCCGTCAAAATTAGCTAGTTGAAAATTCGAATTTTGTTTGGAGAAAAAAACAGGAAAATAGTCGGAGCACTAAGAAATTCTAAATGTTTATAAAATCTATGCTCACGCACAAGTTGAACAAAACTGCTCATATCAAGGCAACGCCCTGATTGTCATGACTGTCTTCTAAGCTCTACGGAGTAGTGTTTTTTTTAAGAAATGATGAAATTTTCTTTCTAACAAAAAATTACTTTTTTGATTTTTTTTTCAAAACTATCCCCCACACTCAATTCTTAGCTCAGATGCACATTTTTCTAATTTTCGCTTATACAGAAGATTTAAGCAGACCAAATAGCAAGCTTCAATTCAATTTTCACAGGTGAATTTGTTTTCTAATTTTAGCTCAAAACCACAACATTTTTCTCATGGTTTGAAAAACTTGCAAAATCGCTAGTTAAAAAGACAAAAATTTTTATGAAGAAAAAACACGACTACCCTGATTACAAAAATATACTCTCACTTAGTTCGAAAGTGAGAACAAAGACAAATCCAATTACTAAATCTTGGAACCAAAAATCTTCCCTCTGTTCAGTTTAGCATGAGTTCGAAGGGTTAAACTAATCAAAACTCTACGTTGTGCACTAGCAAAAAATCATGACAGGATAAATGTTGCAAATGCCTGAATTTTACTAATGCCCTTAAAAAGTCTCATGAATATTTTGGCCAAAAGGTAGAGATGAACATTTGCAAATAAATAGAACTTCATTTGGTTTATTTCAAATTTTGTACACACAATGTGAATTTTGCGCGTGACTTTTGGATACATTGTGAACTTTGCACAGTACACTTAACATTAATAAGAAATTAGAAATTTTGCGCAAGGCAAAAATTGCATTCTTCACACCAAGGGTGGATCTAGGGTTTTCTCAGGGAGGATTTTCCAAAAACTTTTGACACTTTGTCGGCTTTTTTGATTTTACGAGTGCTCACAGAACATACACTATAAAAATCCTCTTTTAACAAAATTTTGTGCACTGCAGCCAAAATTTGGAAAAAATAGCAGGTACAAAACTCAATTTTGGGTTTTTTTGAAAAATTTTTAATTTTAGAAAAAATTAAAGGAAATCAGTCAAAAGTGGATGTTGTAAAATAGTAGCAAAAGTGATGAGGGGGTCAAATTCTTGAGGGGGTGGGCTTGCATCCGCTTCCTCTCTACTTAATGCGCAACAAGATTAATTTTTTTTGATCTCTTGTTGAGAAATCATCGATAAAAACTCTCTTTTCAAATGAGCTTTTTAAATGAGTCCAACCAGGGAAGCATCTAAGTTTTTCGAGGGGGTGGCGTTGCTGACCACTCTTAGGTCGACCAAAAAATACAAACAGATCAACATAATATACATTGGCATCAAAAGCATCTTCAGAAAAATTTAGGGACGGCTAGCGGAAAATGGAATAGCTTATTTGCAATAGCACCAAAGGGAGGACCATCCAATCTCTGAGGGAAAAAGGGCCTCCGCCCCTGCTTCACACTTTCATAATTTTCCAAAATTTATCGCAAAAATTATCTGTTTCGTTTTACTATCACTTCCTCCGATCACTGCGATCAGAGGAACAGAATTTCTGAAGTTGATGGTATTTGTTTTTAGTTTCCCTAGCTATCTTGAAAAACTATCTTTATTAGACCTCAGGCATCCGGTTGTTTTTGACAACTCCTGCCCGTAAAAATAACGTATTCTAGATATGAGTCTGCGCTCAAAAGTAGGAGTGGTTTTTAAGATCAGAAGTGGTTCAAATACTTACTTAAAATTCGAACGAATAAAACGATGGTAGATTTCACGTTTTAGCATGTTGATCTGACTTCTTTTATCACTCGAACCAAAAAAGACAAAATAATACACAAAATAACCATAAAAAATCAAAAGAACGTATTCCCTAAATAAATCACTTAGTTTTTAGACAAAGTTTTGTGTTTTTTTGTGTTGATTGTCCTCAGCCTGGTTCTAGTTAGAGACATTCTAGGTTGAAGAGGCAAGTCGCCATCAGCGCAAGGACGCCAACACCACCACTTACTCTAACGACATTAAACCCGACCAGAATAACGGAGGACGACATCCTCTGACGTCATCGAGGAGCAATGACGTCACAAATGGCTCGTCCTCGGCTGACAGCTCGGCACACAGTTTCTTCCGACACCTGAAACTGTGCAAGATGCTGTTCATCATTACATTTGTGTATATTCTGTCGTTCCTACCGAATTTTTTGTATGGATTCCTAGTGGCATTCGATGTCATACCATTCAACATATACTTTTACAAGGGTGAGTAGCACTACTACCTATTTTATTTTAGACCCCTTAACCCCTTCCCCCATCGGCTTGGCGATAATCAGTGACATCCATTTTATTTGATCCATTTTTTAGGCCGAGTTGAATGTCAATATAAACTTTTTAGTCAGCTAAAGCGCCAAGAAATGGGAGCTATTTGCGAAGTGCTCTTCTATACACGCTTTAGTATTTGCACCGTTTTTGTCATGAGAGAGTTAGGAAAACCATCTAGATGTTTCGTTAACATTAAAGACAAAACTCTTGAAAGTTTGTTGATAATGCGCCCATCCCCCTCGCGAACACACTAGATTAATCTCTATCAGCAACATTAAGATAAGATGTCTCCGCCCATCGCTGTTTTCTACAGGTCAGAAAAAGCTGAGTTGCCAATTTGAAATACTCTCAAGTTGCAATTAGGAATCGATATTTCATTTGCACCTTTGTAAAATTTTTCTTTTTTGTGGAGTGTTATTTGACCAAAAATTGTTTATTAAGTTTCGATTCAAAACTTTTTTGAAAAATTCAAAATTAAATCACAATTTGAAAAAAAATTTGAGGCCATATTTCTCATTGAATTATTCTTTTTTGTTGTTTTATTTTTTTCTTTGATTGGTGGGAGCAAAAAAAAATGATAGCTTTGATAATTATGCAAATGATATGGAAATTATTTTGATGAAGTAAGCAACGCTCGCTAATGAAGATTGAACAAGGTAAGGTTTCGAAGTTCCCTTGAGGATTGTTCCAATGATAGATCAGATCTTGTAAAAAGTAATCAGTGGCTTTTCTGATAGCCAAGTAATCAATCACTGCCACGAATTTTAATTCTTTCAGATGCATTTTTAAAATGATGAAGTCATTCGCAATCATCAATTTTAATCAAAGCTGGGCCATCTTTTTTTGATTTGGAAAAATTATCCTTTTTCACCAAAAGCTGCTTCAAACACTTTAGATGGCAGTCGGTAAACTCGGCGGTGCGCCTTGATTGGAACAGTTTTCCTTGGTAATAAATTGTTTTTCCAGGCAAGGGCGGATCTATGATCTTCTCGAGAAGGGGCGGCTTTTTTATCCAACCAAATTAATTTTCTAAGCTCTCACAAATCACTTAAAAGTTTTCTGAAAAAAATCAGGCCAAAAAAGGCGTTTTTAGACACTTTTTGGAATAATTTGCCCAAAAAAATGCAATTTTTCGGCGCGACCTCCTCCTTAAAAGTAGTATATTGGCACTAAAGATGCTTTTAAGAAAAATTTAGGGTTAGTCAGTTAAAAATAGATGTCCTAAAATAGTACCAATTTTTTAAATTATGATTCCAAGACTACCTTTGAGTTAAACTACTTTTAAGATTTTTAGTTAAACCAAAAAAAAATAAAACGAGATACTGCTCGTATCTTGAATAATCGTCACTTCTCTGGAAGTTTCGATTGCTCTCTAAAGTGTCTTAATACAATTTTGGATGCAAGCTTCGCAAAAATTTTGAAAAATTTATCGAAACTTACATCCATTTTATCGAAATTTTTATCAAATCAAAAATCTCTGGAAGTTTCGATTGCTCCCTAAGGTGTCTTAATTTAATTTTGGATGCAAGCTTTGCAAAAAATTTGAAAAATTTATCGAAGCTTACATCCATTTTATCGAAATTTTTATCAAATAAAAAATCTCTGGAAGTTTCGATTGCTCCCTAAGGTGTCTTAATTTAATTTTGGATGCAAGCTTTGCAAAAATTTTGAAAAACTTATCGAAGCTTACATCCATTTTATCGAAGTTTTTATCAAATCAAAAATCTCTAGAAGTTTCGATTGCTCCCTAAGGTGTCTTAATTTAATTTTGGATGCAAGCTTTGCAAAAATTTTGAAAAATTCATCAAAGCTTACATCCATTTTTTCGAAACTTTTAACAAATCTAAAATCAACAAGAGTCGCGGGTCTTATTTTAATGTGAATATTTTTATTTAGTGTTCTATGAAAATTTTCTGTTACTGCTGATTTCACTCAAAAAGTTTGTTCAATTCCACCTGCCACATTTGGACCAAAAAGGTTCTTAAACTATATGCGTATTAGTTTCTCAGACGAATCGATTCGCCGCATTTAATATGCGCTGAACAAAAACTGAGAACTTTAAGCAATTATATTATCTTGAATTAGCTGTTTTGATAATTTTCAAACCTCCGTAACTTCACATAACAAAATCATATGTCTTTTCAAATTTGGGCTCAAACCATCAATTTTTTTCTGACGGTTTGAAAAATTTAGTCAAAAATGGTTTACTAAAAATCAAATTTAGTCAATTTAGATTGGTCAACTCAGATTTGAAACTGAGTAAGAAAACTTATAAATATTCCGACCGACACTTTCTTTAAAAAATGTTTCAAAAATATTATTTCAAAAATTTTTCCAGAAGGTTGAACATTTAAGCTCAAGTTTTTCTAACAATTTTTATAAGTTAATTGAAAAAATCGGGACATGTTTCAATAGATTTGGTCAACACATTTTGCTTTATTGGGAAGTTAGGGTGCCTGAGTTCTATATGTACTGATTTCTGAGCCATATCGAATCGCCGCATTTACTACGCTACTTGTCTATTAAAAAATAGGGAAATTTGCGCGCATTGATTATCCCGACTTAGTTAATTTGTTAGTTGTCAAACTTCCATAACCTCACAAAAAATAATCACACCAGAAATATTTTTTATATGTTTGAGTTTACGCCATCAATCTTATTCCTATGGTATAAAGAACTGCCGAATACGATTAAATAAAAAATCAAAATCAGCATGAGTGAAAAAATTTGATTTATGTTGTCAATTTTTTGAAAAATCTGTTCGGAAATATAACTTTAAGTCGTTTTAGAACATTTAAATGTAAAAAGTTTATACCAAGTTTTATCATCAATTTTCATCATTTATTTAGAAAAATAAGAGGTTGTTATATTTGTTATAAAATATCTTTAAAAAATGGCCAGGCTGTGGGAGACCTAGAAATAACGAAAAAGTAAGGCTTCGCTCTCGCACTACTGCCGTTTGCATATACATTAAAAACACCTCAAAGGGAACGCCTTTATTATTTTGAGTGCCTTTAAGTGTGAAACCTCTCAATAGTTCAAAATATTTTGAAATAACACACTTTATCTCCAGGCTCTTGAATTAATTTCTAGCGACGGCAGATGGCACAAACTGATCAACGAAAAAATAACAACTTTTGTTTCTGATATCAGAAATCAATGTTAAATAATTTAAGTAACAAAACAGAGTTGGACTTTCTGTCTGCTATCAGTAGAACTTCTTTTTTTTCTTTTCAAATTTTGGTGAATATTAATTTTCGCGCCAATGGAGATTGATTTATGCTTGTATAAGAAATTGAATCATGTTTCTGAGAAAGAACGGTTCCAAGATTTTATAGGGAGGGGAGAGTGGATTTCAAAAAAAATCGACCTTTTGTTGAGGTCAAACAAATTAATTTTCTGAGCTCTTCTACATTTATATAAGGATCGTATTTAGCCAGCATTTTTGGCGCCGCTGGTGACTTTATAACAAAGGCCAAAATGACATTTTTGCTTTGTTTTGGAAGATTTTGATCAATTAAATGAGCTTTTTTTGGCGCGCGCTTTTCCTTTCCTAAAATTTAGAAAGTATTATCGCCAAAGGTGAATCCCTGAGGGGAAGAGGCGTCCCCCTAAATCCTACCCTGTTTCTGATACTAACAAACTGCATTTATAAAACTAAAATAGTTCGCTATAATAGCAAGCAGGAGCGTTTCTGCTTAAAAAGTTGAAAGTCTGACATCTTGAATAATACCTTCGTAGATATACATGTAATTCGTCGCAAAAGCTTCAACTCTAACAGGGTACAGCTCAAATTTGATTGCTCTTCTCATATTTTAGTGATTCATTTTCTGACGTATATCAACGGGGCATTTAATGCTCTCATTTATTACTCCATGAGTGTGGTTTTCAAAGATGGGTTCCACAGAACTATGTCCAAACTATTCCCCAATCTCGCATTCTCCGACCCCTCGGAAGTTGGCGAGGAGCTCTTGGACTCCAATGGAAACAAAGCAACCCAAATAGAACTGCAGCAAGAAGCTGTCACAGGAAAGAATTCGAAAACAGGGTCGTATCCAGGGAACAGATCGAATAAAAAACGACCTAAGTTTGAACTAGATGTATGAACTCTACTCCCTTCATTATAATGCATATAACTCTAATACGTACCAAAGTTTCTCGCAAACAAATGGACATAACAAATAAATTATTAAAATTTAAGTTTGAACTCATTGGTGCCAAATATAAACAAACCTCTGAAAGTCAATTATAAAAAATTTGTCAAAAAGTTCGTTTTGGAAAAACGTTGACTTTTGCAGGAGCCAAGGAGATCATAAGTTTTGCAATACTGTTTTTGCTTCGAAACTTTTTGAGATCAAAAATTATTTGAACATTTTAAGAGATATATCAAATATTCAGAATAAGACATATTCAGTAAAAGGCAACTTCTGTAATTTCTTAACAACGTTACATTTTCTAGAGTTTGAGTCGAAAAAAAATACAGATAAATGGTGAACGGATGATCACTTTTAGGGCAACCAATTTACCAGTCCGAAATTTGGTACAGCCGGACACGGAGCTGCGCTTAGCACCACACGCAGAATCTAAAAACTCAGTTGAAAATACGACAGTGATATGGAAAAACCATCTAATAAATCTGTTGACAAAATGAACTGTCGACAAGTAGAAGTTGAATGTAATATTTCAACTTTTTAAGAAGAAAAAAGCAGAAAATTGGACAGTTTTCTTCTAACAACTTAACTCAACAATTATGATCTAATGGAAAAGATAGACAAAATATTTTAGTACGTTACTTCAATTCAGATACCACAAATGCGCGTCAGATGATGTCACATAAATGCCATAATAAAGCCTTTTCACTTGTCATTCAAGCTGCTCTGATCATTTCTTAATAGTCTTTTCAGTGTAGAAATAAAGCCCTTGTTTTAATTTTTAGTGATAAGTTTTTCTCTTTAAGACTAATTTAGAGCGGATGAAGGGTTGGACAAAAGTGGATGTCTGAAAATGAGTTAGTTTTCAAGGTAACAACAATTAATGTACTTAAGTCTGATCATTCTGTGCTTCTTCCTAAGAAACCTGCATTTCTTGTTCCAATGTGAACTTCTATTCACTCTTTAGTTTATGGATGCACATTGGATTTTAAGGGAAAGCAATTAATGAGAGTGTGAGTTTGCTGAATACGTTCTAAAAATTCAAGACGGTGAGAAATGCTCTTGAGAATTAGACATGGAGACAAATTTACTTTCCTCTGGATGGGACTTGAATGGCGAGCTTTTGTCTCCTTAGAACTTTGTCTCTCTAGATTTTCTATGCCTTGAGGACCTAAAAGTTAGTGGTCCTCTTTTTCATTTTTTTAATCTTATTTCGTCTTTTTTTTCCAACTGCATCAAGGCTTCGTCTTTTATAATATGCACAGCAAACTATTTATATGTACAACGAAAATATCAGTGTTAAAATAAGTAAGTTTAACTGGTTTGAGTTAATGCTAACTTGATTGACAAAAAAAACAGACTTTTGGAATCGCAATACAGTAAAAATTGTTGTGCCTGGTTAGTTTGGACATTTGGATAAGGCGGACATTTGGATTGTGTAGGCCGCATACTTCGGTCGAATAATGAACAAAAAAAACGCCACGTGCAAACTTCTAAATATGTCTCTTTGTTGAAACGGCCTCTCGTTGCATTTTATCTGCCTTCATTTTTTGTCTGGTGACTGACCTCTTCTTTTAGTTTGACGCAACAGTGTTTGATGAAAAAAGGCCATAACATGCATTCAGTCAATTAAATGAACGAAAGAACGAAAGACTGTTCGTATAATGGCAGAGGCCTGAATACTTCTACCGTCGTTTAACGTCTGAAAGTTTTAGGATTTCTTTCTGAAAAAATTTTAAACATTGATGAAGTTTTCACAAAAACTTTATTGACCACACGCTTATATTATCTAAAAACTCTATGTAAAAATAAAGATCATTTTGATATACCCCCTAAATGATGAAAAACAAACTAAAAATTTTGTTACCAATTTCATTGCTTAACCACCTAGTTATAAAAAGTGAGGATAATCCAGGTGTGAATCTTCAGAATGAACACCTGTGAAGAGGTACTTAAACTAAGATTAGCTTAAAGCTAGGTAAAACTACGGGGGCTCTCTACTAAAATACTTTTAGACTTTTGAACTAAGACTAGATATTAAAAGACGGCAGGCTAAAAGGTATCTAAGTTGAATGAAAATAAAATCAATTAGGAAGTAAAATTGAAATTAGTAGCATAAAATAAAACACTGACTAAAGATCCCGGTTACAACAGAAAGTACTGAAATTAATTATGAAGTTTTTTTATAGAGCCTTTCTGCAGAAGTGGAGGTTTTTGTTTTAAGAATTTTAGGAGGCGTCTCAATTCGTTGCTCTGGATTCCGTCCATTTTCTGAGCTCTTCTAGTGTCATTGGGCAGCCTAAGAAGTCCATAGCTTCGATAACCGAGGTTGTGTTCAGCCAATCAGGGGTGTCGACAGTTAACAATTCAATGGGAGTGGGCGACGGGTCATATTAGCTTTCTCGAACTTTCGGGTCAATTTCAGTTTCTTGGAAGGCTAGGCGGGGTAATCGGTTAAAAAAGACCTCATCTTGCCTTATAAGTCTACTCCACTTCTTCTAGAAATCTTCGGGATTGAATGCTTTAATGGGGATGAATTCGGGGTGGTGAGATCCACGACACCACGACAGTTACAAAAGATTTTTTTATTTCGATAGTCATCGCTTCTACTAATAAAGTGGAAGGGGTCTTTAAACAGGTCGAAAAATGTTCACCAGGTCTGTCCTCGAAACTTTTCTCCAGGCTCGTAAAGACTCGTTCTCCCAGCAATGATGGTGGCTTTCTGGACCGGATGGGTATGGAGTTATCTCTGACATGATGATTAAATATCTTTCTTGTGGGTGAAGATTTCATGGGCGAGGACGCTTTCCTATTGACGATCTCACTGGATTTTGATTTTTAGGAGCCTTGAATCAGGATTGGCTCGTGTCTTGGGTTCTCGGATACCTTCTGTTAAGGTTTACAGGCGCGTTCCTATTCGGGTTGGAAATCAAGTTTTGCTGTTGAATCACATCATTTTGGTTGCTACTTTCTTGTTGTCTGCCGTCTGTTTCTTCTTGGCTGTCTAGAAGGATGATGGGTGGTTTGTGTGGGTTTTACAGTGTTCGGAATCGGTAATTTCAGTGGAATTAAAGTTTGTGGTAGAGCCTGATCAGTGACAGAATCTATATCCTCCTTACGTGGACCTTCTTGTTTAATATCCAATGAGAGTTGGCGTGCGGAGTCTTGAAAACGATCGGGGTTTATTCGAGTAAGTGGCTTAGGGTCTTATAAGACAATCACATTGCTAGAGCCGTCGTCAGATATAGTCTTCTTCTTCCTCTCGCAGAAGGGTTTCTCTTGAGCTATTCATGGCAACATTAGGTCTAGCGATGACCAATTTTTCAAATTTGGCTTCGAGGTTTCGTTTTGTTTCTGGGTTGCTTCGGAATTTTTGAACCCGACATTTCTGGCCGGCTTATTCACTCGCCTTTTTTTTCTGGGTCTCACCCTCTTCTGATTATCTTTTCATTGCTGTTGAGATACTCAGCACGGGATATGCTACCCCTAGGGTTTTTTGCTTCTGTGAGCAGGATAGAAGTTTTACTAGGGAACCCGAACTCGTTGGAACGTATGTGGCGGCATTCGCGATATCTTCTGAAGAAGAGGAGCCGTCGTTTAGATGTCCATCCTTTATATCATCCGGAGCGCTCACTCGTTTCGTCGGTCCGGCTCATAAGTTTTCTTGCTTTATCTGCTTTTACCAACATGATGCAAATTTCGGAGTGAACTTGATTCCATGATAAATTCTTGGCCAACAGATTTAGAGAGTCGCCAAGTTCAAATTGGCCGAGGGGTGCTTTTTGGAGTTTATGTAACATAGTGATCCTCACACATGCCGGTATAACGAGTCTTCCATCAAATTACAGACACCCACCATTGACGTGTAAATTATTATTATAGGTTTAAAATAGTTTCCCATTTGTGAAATGTGCTTTTTCTGGTCTTCATCTGTAGCTTTGATAATTTTCTTTAATGCAAGGTCTTCTTTTGTGAGTAAGGCCATAAGTTTCGAATCAAAAATTTCGGACCAGGGCGATGGGAACAATTTAGGTTTAATAGTCCTAAGATTCTGTTCATTAGCAATGGTTTCGTCTATAGAAATACCCGACGGTAAACTCGTACTCAGTATTGTAGGAGGGAATTTATTAACAAGTGTATTTTTATTAGCCTGAGTTTGATTGATTGTATCTATTTGGTCTGACTTGTCTTTTAAAATTCTGAACTTGTAAGATAATTCAACTGTTTGACAGGATAGAAAACAGTCTTCTGTACGCAATAAGAGATTTTTGGCACACCGAATTTTTAGAATGAGCGAACAAAGTCTGCAAAGTTTCTGCGGCATTCTCAATTTGTTTCGCGCGTTCAGTTGTTTGCTTTGTCAGCTTACTATTTGATTGACTAATCACGTCGCAGTGTTTTAAGTCGTGAGATAATGTTTGGTGAAAGTTTTTTCTTATTTCTTCCAAAGCCGAGAAGGAGGCCAATGCGATTTGCTGAGGCGATAACAAGTTTTTCGTTATCTTTTGAAACTGGTGCGAGATCGCCCGATGTGTGCCTAGATTCGTAAGAAAAAAATACAAATTTTTTGCACCAGAATTGTTCGACGGTGAGATCGTAGGGTCGAAGTTTATCTGCCCAACGGGTAAGGCGGGATTGGGTCGTCTTTGGATACTACGCATCCTTTAAGACTCCGATTAAGGCTTAATGATCCGTAAGAATATAAATTGTCTGACATAAAAGGTAATCTTTGACATGATCTAGTGCCCAAAGTTTGTTAATGCTGAAAATTAACTCACTTATTTTTAGAAATCTGCTCGCAAATACAACTGTTTCTTAAATTCCCGCTTGCTTTTGCTCGAGATATGTGCCCACGCAGATTTCCGTCTCAATTCTTTTAAGCGCCGCGAGATGTACGTCTGACCAGTTGAGCTGTTTATTTTTTGCATTAACTTTCTTAACGGTGTAAATAGGTATGCTAAAATGGGATTAGTTGGTTAACATGATTATTTGAGCCCATTAAAGATCTTACATTTTTAATGCATTCTGTTTTTTTTTAGATTCCGGATTGCATCAGATTTATGAATCAAAGAAGTGGATCTCTT